TGGCGGGGACTCTGGCTGGACAGCGACAATGAAAGTGTGAAGAGGAGCGTGCCCAGACCGCAGGCAGGCTCTTCTGCAGTGTAACTGAATGACTGTTGAATAGCATTGACTTAAAAGAAATCTCTCCATGCAGGTTTAATGAGCCCCCCTGGGAAGCTCTCGATGTGAATGGGAATCACGACTTGACATAAATGTGAAAGATTATGTGTCAGCGGGGCTGATTTGATTCTTAACGGAGCGTTAATTTATTTGCTGTCATTTCACACATCTGTTCTGACCACAATACCATATTACGTTAATCTCTGAGATATTACTACACATAGGTATATTCTCTATATATGAGGTGGGTGGGGCATGGGGAATTGGTACATGTGATTTTTTTAAAGGGATACATACCCTTTTATTCAAAGGACTGGCAGGCAGAAGATGTTAGATTTCCCCCACCATTTGGATACATAGTTTCTTGGGGCTAACATATGGTTTGGCATTTGAGTCCATGAGATTGCAGAATAATTTTGGAGGTAACAGGCTCTGGAGAGTCCTTAACTACAAAGCAAGCCACCCTCTTTAGGGCTACTTAAGATTAGTAGATTGGACGGCTTTACTTCCTTTCGAAATATTACTTTATAAATTTGTATAAACAGCAAAAACAAAGGTATTTCCCTAAACCTTTTGAGCTGAGGTTTAAAAACAGAGAAGGAGATACAAAAGAAAAAAGAAAGAGAAAAATCACTTTGTAGCAAAGAGGAGGAATAGATTCCATCTGCCAGCTATGTTCTTTTAAGGCTCACAATACAGGATGGGTTTGCCCCTTAAGAAGACAATTTGATGGTTTCATTAGGAAACAGATGTATGTAGGCCACTGGGGGAGATAAAGCTCAGTTAATCCTAGCTGTTTGTGAATGAAATGTAGAGGACTTCAACACAGAGACCAATCCCAAATCGAATGCAGTCCCTCCCAAGCCTCACAAATCCCAGGAGGCTACAGATGCTGGCGCTTCCCAGGGCAGATGTATCCAGGGCTGCAATCGGCTTTCCAAGGCTGCCTCTCTGATGCTGCAGCCCACGCCTTGCATGCTCAGCAGTGTTCCCTGGTTTAGTTTAGTCGGTGTTGGCACCAGTGGTGAGAGAAGAATGGACGTGGGAGCGGAGGGCTGGTGGTTAGCAAGATGGCTTTCTACTGCAGGGTCCAGGCTATCCCAAGTGTGGAGGGACTTTTACTTAGAAAGAGAGCCCCTTTCTCCTCTCTTGCTTGAACCTCACTTACAGTTGTGGAGGACAGCCAGGACACACCACTACTCAAGGAAAGTGCAGTTCTCCCAGGTTGAGGGGAATAGGGAGCTGGAGTAGCTGCCTTCAAACATGCTGGACTTTCTGCAATGCTAAAGACACTATGGAAATAACCATGCTATATGAGGCATGTCCTCTGCTTTCCAGGAATTTACAGTCTAGTAGAATAGAGGTCAGTCGACTAACTTTCACTCTTACAACACATACAAAGATTCCATGAGGTTTCATTTACCAAATATTTGAAGCTGCAAAGCTAAAAGGTTCATCTGGGAATCTGGTTGAGAAGAAAATGAAGTTTTAAGCATACATAAGAATAAGAGCAAATCCAGACACACCCATGTAATAAATGGGATCATTGTTAGCAAGTCTACATTCTCTCCCTGTAGTATAATATTTAACCATTCCCTTTGCAGTTTTTCCATCTAGATGTGGAGAACATTTCCCTGCTCTGGTAAGACATGGATTTGCAAGGCCAACAACCCAGTATTATGTTTCTTTAGATGCTTGCAAGTGACTCAATCCCCATGAGCTGAACCACTTTAACTCCCCTTTTCTTACTCAAAGATCACATTTATCATCTTTTAAAATTATTTTAGTATTCTTCTCTAGGGTTCTTAATACTGTTTTATTCATAGCTTTTAGCTTTGCTATCTGTTTGACTTTAGGCAAGCCACCTAAGCTTTGGGTCAGTTTCAACATCTACGAAAAAAGGAGATGAGATTTCCTGATCTCTAGGATTCGTTCCTACGCTAATACTCATGAAAGCAAAAATTTTCAAATTTTGTTAGCAGAGCCACTGACTAGAATTTGTTAACAATGCCAGTACCTAAACCTTGCTTTCATAGGTTTTAATTTGGCAGGTCTGGGATGGGAACCCAGCATCTGTATTTTTAATGAACATCCCCAGATGGTCTAATGAACATCAAAGTTTATTCTATGAGTATTCTATTTTTCATCCCAAACCACTACTTTAATAGAGTAGAATAGGTTTTAAACAAGAGATGAAAATAACGTCCCTGTTGACTTAAGCGGGGATCTTTAACCAGAGGAGAACTGAAATAGTCAAAATCTAGCAAGATGAGATAATGCTCTGAGGAAACTCAGAGATGCCCAGCTCTATACAGAACGATTTCATATTTAATGCAGCATTATCAGGACAAATTATTAATTAAAAATGGAGTTGATAGGACTCAAAAGAGGAAGCACAATATAGTAAGTGTGAAGCAACTTATGAATGGTTAATAAAAATAGTTAATTGTTTTCAAAATGTGGTAAAAATAAGACTTTTATTTAAAAAGAGGCTACTTGGACAAATATATGTCTTAAAATATAGGTTTTATATATAGGTATCTTTGTGTGTTTATATACCTATGTTGTACACACATGTGTTTACATGTTGAATCTATATGGCATATTAAAGTATATTTCGAAATAATAAATTAATGATCAACAATTTTGTCATACCCTAGTGCTTGAAAATTGCACTGTGAGAACATTTAAAACGTATTTCCTGCAATCTACATTCTTAGGACCACAATCGTCAAGGGTTTGGGAAAGCCAAAGGATAGACCATGATGATTTTGAGTTGTGCAGCCCATTTTAGGAACTCTAAAGATGTTAAACAGATTTCCCTTGGGACTTTCTCACTCATTCACTCCTTGTCTAAGATCCTTTACTGCAAAAGTGTCAGCCTGCCAGAGAAGGCACCAATACAGGGACCCAGGGCCTAAGGGGGTAGGAGGGAAGGCTGGGAAAACATACCAAGTTTGAGTTGGGGATCACCATTCCATCTGGAAGCTAACTGGATAACAGTATATTCCCCCTTCCCCACCCTTGCATCTCCTCCCTGTTCAGAAGGAAAATAAGAAATGCCTGCCTTAGCCCTAATGTTTACTTACACCTTATACCATTTTCCATTGTTAGTAGACTCTTTTACTCCTTCCCAGTGAAAAGCTGCTTCCTTGGGGGTAAAGGTATCAGTCCTAGGAGAGGATCTCAATGATCCCACTGGTTCTGAAGTGTGGGTTTCTTCTTTAAACATTATTTTATGCAAAAGTGCATTGTGAGTGAACTCAAGCCCACGCTCTGCACCCTTCTTCCCAGTCCCTGGGCCACCAGCTACCCAACCACCTCATTGGTTCTAGAACTGAAGGCTCATGGTGGTGTGGCTTATGTAATACACATATGTGCTATGATCGCTGTGGATAATTAAGGCTGTGTTATATGCCTAGGATGAGTTAGCAACCCTTCCACAGTTGTATTTTTGAAAGGATGACAACCACTTTTCCATTGTGCTTTTGGTACATTTATATGAAACTCTTCCAACTACAGTGTCTCCTAATACTGACCCCTGAGCTAATTAGCAGTCTGGTGCTCTAGATAGAACTGAAAACAAAATGTAAATTTAAAAACAGAAACCAAGATCTGCTGGTTGAGGGGAGAAAGCCAAGGCCCAATAAGGAAAGTGGGGGTGGGGTGCGGTTGTGAGCAGCTCTGTTTCTGCTAGCAGAATACTGGGTCTCAAATTCAGATTAGACCACAGTTCATCTGAGCAGTATCCCCTCCTCCCATTAGTAAAAAATAAAAATAAAAAAAATATAGCAGAGCATCTGGGTTTGCTCAGAAGGAAGCGAGACCCTAACCATGGCCACTCCACTCGCTCACAGCTGGGCACCTGTTAGGTAAACGCTGGTACCCAGAGCCCTATCCTCAGAGGCGGCTTCACACCTGCATTTGCACTTCAGCCTAAATGAACTTGCATCGGGGCTTCCCCACCCCGGTATCGGATCCACAGAGGCAGCGAAGGCAGCCTCACTCTGAGCCACGCTGTCCTCTCCAAGGGAGATTTAAAAGCGCCCCCATTGTCTACCCCACCAATCCTCCCCCAACCAGCATCTCCATCTAGAGAAGGAATTTCACTTGTCTCCCAGGGCAAAGAGCGAAACGGTGAGGGATGCACCGGAGAGAAGATAAACTATCTACTCACGCCCCTCCCCACTCACCCACGCGTCTGCTCCCAGCTCCCCTCCTCCTGCTGGGGTCTGGCAGTCAGGTGAGGTTACCTGGACGCCCCGAGAAGCCCCAAGGGGTGCTGCAGTTCTTCCTTTCGAAATCGCCCCACTCCCCGCCGCGTCCCCAGGACCGTTGTCCCTCTCCCCCCGCGCGCGTCCCTGGCCCCTCCGGCTCCGACGCGCAGCGACAGCCGCACGCCGCGCTCTGTTCCCCTCCGCCGACCTGGCGTGACGCAGGCGGAGACTACTTAAGGGCGGATTAGAGGCGGCGGCCGCGGATTCCCGAGCCCGGCAGCCGGCTCCGCGCGCTCCGCCCCGGCCCCTCGCAGGCTGCAGCGCGGGAGCGCCAGGTGCCCCCCGAAGTAGCAGGCGCGGAGGTGCCTGGACCCCTCCGGCCCGCAACCTGCTGCGGAGAGCGGTGCCCGGAGACCTTGCGCGCGCCGGCGAGAGCTCGCGGACCTGCACGCTGCCACTCCCGCCCCGCCCCTCGTCCCGCCATCCGCGGGATCCGGACCCGACCCCCGGACGGCGCCGGAGGTTCGTGCCCGCTCTCCGGACGGCGCCTACTGCCCCATCAGTCGGGACGCACTTGGATTTCTTTCCCCATTTCCCTCTTTTAAGTACAATAAAAGGGGAGGGGGGATTCGTGAATTTTTAAAAAAAATTTGTTTTTTTAATTGGGAGGCAATTCGCTCCCAGTCGGGAGGTGCGGCCCGGGGAGGGGCCAGGAGCGGGAACGTGCCCGGTGCTGCCCAGTCTTTGTCTGCTGCCTCCGGATGCACAGCGATGGGGGAATGGACCATCTTGGAGAGGCTGCTGGAAGCCGCGGTGCAGCAGCACTCCACTATGATCGGGAGGTAAGGGCGCCAAGCCGGCCTTCAGCGGGTCCCGTCGGGCGGTCCCCGGGAGTCCCTCCTCACGTCCGGACTGAGCCCCCACTTCTCCAGCCCTCAGCTGGTCCTCTGCCTGCTCTCCGTCGTCCTCAATCAATGCGACGGTGTTCCCCGGAGTTGAGGGATTACCCGGTGCGCGGTGATGCCCTCCTCCTCTAGCTACTCCTGACCAGCTCCCCAGTCCCTTCCCTATGAAGCACCACTAGGGAATTCACTCTTCCCACATCAGAAAAGGAGTTGTTGGCTCAGTCTTTGGTCCCCCCACTCTCCAGAGTCAGAGCCAATCTCCATCCGGTTCCCTAAATAGAATCTACAAAGAAGGCAGGATTGCATTTGGACAGAGAAGGGCAAATGGGGAGATGGATTTGCTCTTCAGAGCAGATGCATCTTTTCTCAACAAATATGTGTTAATATTTGGCTGTTAAAACTTACAGAGCCTACATTCCCAATTACATTTTTGTGTGTCTGTAGCTGTCTACCTTCATATATATTCACATACACATGAATATGTATTCATAGCCATCTGTTTATATAAAGCATTAAGTTTAATATTCATATCGAGGATAAATTAAATACAAACTAAATATACACGTGGAGAAGTTATGTACAGACCCTGCGTAGACTTTGAAACATGCCCTATCTGTTCAGGCATTCTGTGTGCATTTGCCACATCCAGAGTGAAGGTGTGTTTTGTGTCTCTGTACATTCCATTTATAGAGATGAAATCTATCTATTGCAAGTAGACTATGTCCAGTGTTTGGAGATGTGTATACCTGGGATTCTCGTAATAGGAAGTGTTCCCAGCCTATCAGCACCCAGCAGTACAGCAGTAAAGGAGGAGACAGAAAGGTTTCCCAGATCCCCAGTTCAGTACCACGTAGGATGGACAGCTCCCCAGGCAAAGGACTGGTAAACACCAGAACCGGGAAGGGAGGAGCAGGGATTTCCTGTTAGTGACCCGGCGTGAGAACCTCTCTCCCTCCCTCTTCCTCTGCTCAGGATCCTGTTGACTGTGGTGGTGATCTTCCGGATTCTCATTGTGGCCATTGTGGGGGAGACGGTGTACGATGATGAGCAGACCATGTTTGTGTGCAACACCCTGCAGCCCGGCTGTAACCAGGCCTGCTATGACCGCGCCTTCCCCATCTCCCACATACGTTACTGGGTCTTCCAGATCATAATGGTGTGTACACCCAGTCTCTGCTTCATCACCTACTCCGTGCACCAGTCTGCCAAGCAGCGAGAACGCCGCTACTCAACTGTCTTTCTAGCCCTGGACAGAGACCCCCCTGAGTCTATGGGGGGTCCTGGAGGAACTGGGGGTGGGGGCACTGGTGGGGGCAAACGAGAAGATAAGAAGTTGCAAAATGCCATTGTCAATGGGGTGCTGCAGAACACAGAGAGCACCAATAAGGAAACGGAGCCAGATTGTTTAGAGGTTAAGGAGCTGACTCCACACTCATCAGGGCTGCGCACTGCATCAAAATCCAAGCTTCGAAGGCAGGAAGGCATCTCCCGCTTCTACATTATCCAAGTGGTGTTCCGAAATGCCCTGGAAATTGGGTTTCTGGTGGGTCAGTACTTTCTCTATGGCTTTAGCGTCCCAGGGTTATATGAGTGTAACCGCTACCCCTGCATTAAGGAGGTGGAATGTTATGTGTCCCGGCCCACTGAGAAGACTGTCTTTTTAGTGTTCATGTTTGCTGTGAGTGGCATCTGTGTTGTGCTCAACCTGGCTGAACTCAACCATCTGGGATGGCGCAAGATCAAGCTGGCTGTGCGAGGGGCCCAGGCCAAGAGGAAGTCAGTCTATGAGATCCGTAACAAGGACCTGCCCAGGGTCAGTGTTCCCAATTTTGGCAGGACTCAGTCCAGTGACTCTGCCTATGTGTGAGAGGGCAGGTTTTGGGAAGGCCTGGGGGATGACAAGTGCCCCAAAGCAGAGGACTGCCCAGAGGTGGCTGTATCTGCCCTCATTTATGTGATTCTCACCACTAAGATGTAGGATAAGACTGGTTAAGAGAAGATCTTGCACCAGTGGGAATGGACAAAAAGTAGAACCATTACTACATGTCACATCATTGGTTCCACAGAGACAATTGGGTAAAGTGATGAGATGGATGAGTTGGACTTCTCCGGGCCCTTTCTACTCACAGCCCCGCCTGATCCTGATAACAGTGAACTTGCACTGCTACCAAGTGGGACTTAGCTCTGCTGAGCTCTGTATCCTGGTGAATGGCGTGAGTCATATACTTCATTGATGCAAAATTTGTGACCCATCTCAACATCCCTTTATCCTGGGCTGCAGGACAAACATCCTTGAGGCATCCTTCATGTATATCCCCCACCAGCATGCCCCTTTTCCTCAACCCAGGACAGCATGCCAGCTTTTTTCTGAATCTGGCCTTACATTAGACCTTATTTGCAAGCTAGAGGGAATTACATGGGGTGCTTTTTGGAGAATGGCCATGGAAGAAGTTCCCATTAGAGCCCTATCTGACTGGCCCTTAGTCAATATGAAAACCTTAGGAATGTCTCAATATTTCCAGTTTTCTAACTCAAACTGCACTGGTGCTGTTCATTAGGGATGGGGGATGGGGGATGGGGGATGGGGGATGGGTGGGAGGCAGGGAATTGCAATATGCAACTACAACACTTTTGTGAGATGGTTGTTGCACTGTTCAGTGTGTAGTTAATGAGCTTCAGGATATTTCTGCCTTCTAGCTTGTGGACTTTGGATAACATTAAAAAGTTTTTTTTTGTTAACATTGAGGGTGTCTACCCAAGCCACAGAATTTCTAACTGGTGTATCTCACTCATTTTCTTACATAGTTTTGTTGTGCAACACAGCTGCACGTCATTTTGCCATGGTTTGAATTTACCTGTGTGCTTACACCAGAGACCTTAATCAGCCCATGTCAATCCCAATTTATTATTTTATCAGTTATTTTTGAAATACACACACACAGACGCGCACACACATACACACAATCACTGGCTTAAAAAACCTGGAACTAAACACTGTTGGTTAACATGTGTTTACAGATGCTTATTTGAGACCTATACCAAAGGTTCAAAAACCTATTGCTTTGGACTGTGAATATATTAACTTCTCTTTGCTCTTATTTATTTAAGTGCCATACTGTACCTTTCATATCCACTGTGTATTTAGTTAAAGCATTGGCCAAGAGTAATATTTGCATAATGTGCTTTTATGAAGCCCTCTGTTTCCTTTGAATTATCATTATCATTTTTGATTTAGATATGGATATGGTGTAACACACAACTGAGGATTTGTTTAAAATAAAGTTCTTGCCTTTTTTTTGTAAAATGGAAAGAGTCTGCATTTTTTTTCTATTTTGATTAGGGTTCTATTTATTTAAATACGTGTTAAAAAATGTTACAACAGTAGAACATTGGGTGCAGGAACTGAGTGATGGTTGAATACTATTTGAGGGATGATCAATGAAATCCAATCAGCCACTGACAGATAAAGAGAGGCTGGTCTGCTTTATGAATGTATAAAAGAAAGTAGCGTGGTTTTCAAGTAATAGTATTCATTAACTCCTTTTAATTTTAGCTCAAAACCTCTCTGCTTGTCTACTTATATTTCTTGTAACACTAACGTCAATAATATATCGTATTAACCCCTTCTAGGAGTGGATTTTTCCCCCCTTTCCAACATATTTTTCCTACCATGGATTAATCGTTCCATTTGGCAGGCATGCTTTCTTCAGGGCCTGATGATCAACACAATATTAACCCAATAGTCAAACAGGACCCTGTAGACCAGGGCTTCCCAGTAGAACTTTCTGTAATGATGGAAATTTCGTCTATCCATGCTGCCCAATTTGGCAACAACTAGCCACGTGTGACTTTTGAGCTCTTAATATGTGGCTAGTTCAAAGGAAGAACAGACTTTCTGATTTTATTTAATTTTAATTAATTTCAATAGCCATGTATGGTTAGTTGCTACTATGTTACACCACACAGTTCTAGACTTTTAATCACTCATTTCTTATTAGGTTCTTCAAAGGGGATTGATTCATTGTTTATATGTTATAAGACATTACTTTTTAGCTACATTTTTACTATCATTTCTGGTATTTTCTGCCTACATGTGGTCCCTTTAGTTCAGTAGGCTGATGTTCTTCCTAAGTTCTTCAATGCTAGCCACCTTCTAATTACAGTGAGCATTTGGCTTAAACATTACAAAGCAACACAGGGTTTTCTGGATGATTGTCAAACACAATTGTTGCACCTTTTAACTATGGCAATGCAGATGCCATTTTTAGAATGAAAATATGTTCATTTAAATCTATAGGTTTCTATTTGCAATATAAATAAGCAGTTGAAGATGATTGTCCCTGAGTAAAGAAACAGATCCTCCTCTGTTTTGTGTTTGGGAAGCTAAAAATGTTTAAGACGCCTCCCAGAGATGGAGGAAGAGTGTTGCTTGAGAGCTCTTAGCATATGCTTGGGTGTGAAAGAAATAGGAATCTGTGTGGAAAACAAGGTCTGTTGTATTTATGCCTTGATGTAGGATTAGAAGAACCATGGTGTTTCCTGGAAGAAATTCGTCCCAGATCAGTGGGGTTGATCTATTTCAGTTCTTCGATGTTTCCAAACACCCACAAATGGCAAGATTATTAATTCACTTTTCAGTGATGGAGAAGGGAATACACCTCCTCTCAATCTCGCCAGAATGACTGATCTGTATTGGTCTTTGATTCTTTTGCTTTCTATCTAGTGAAGGAAATACACTGATGATTTGATGGTTCATAAGGCCACGTGATGGATGTGACCTTAATCTGTATTTTGTGGGAGGACAACATGGACATACTCTCTTAAATTTAAGAGCATTTTGGTGAACTGAAGGCCCTCTTGGCCTGTGCCTGTCTGTGTGCATGTTTGTGTGTGCACACAGGTAAAGTGGTGAGTGGCAGTGCATGAACTGGGTTTAAAGTTTAGACAATAGCCTGGAGGGACTGATGTTACTTCTTAACCTGGGAAAGAAGAACTGAAAGTACAGAATTTGTAATTTGTAAGCATTCAAATATTTAAAGGGTTAAAAAATATGATGGATAGCAGTTGTACTCTATGACCTCTGTGGGCAGAGGAAAATGACTGGATTTAAAATCAAGGGTGGGGGTGGTTAGAAAGACACTAGGAAGAACATGATTTCTTTTTCACCTCTGCTTTTGTTGTTGTTGTTATTTACCCTGTTTCTTCTACTGGGAGTACCTGTCCTTCCACCTCCTTTCACCGGGTGTGTTCCTCTTTATCCATTAAAAGTCAGTCTGGCTGACCCTCACACAGGAACCTATTTTTAACTCTCCTCCAGGCTGGCTTAGTGTCCCTGCTCTGAGCCTTTATAAAAGTCACTTTACCAGTCACTTGCTGCATGGAGATGGAATGGTTCTAGATCATCTGGATCAGCAGTTCCCAATCTTTGTGGCACCAGGGACCAGTTTCATGGAAGACAATTTCTCCGCTGACGGGGTTGGGAGAGAGGAGGGGAGAGGCAGAGCTAAGGCAGTGATGTGAGCGATAGGGAGTGGCTGTAAATACAGATGCAGCTTCGCTTGCTTGCAGGTTGCTCACCTCCTGCTGTGTGGTCTAGTTCCTAAGTTTCATGGAAGACAATTTTTCCACAGAAGAGGGAGGGGTGTGTGTGTGTGTAGCGGTGGAGCTCAGGTGGTGATGTGCAGCCTGCTTCCTAACAGGCCATGGCTGGGGGGTTGGGGACCACAGATCTAGATGGTTCGTTGTGGTCAGGAACTGTGCCTCATCCATTATAACCTTATACAGCGTTTATTGTCAACATCTCATTTGCTACCAGAGCAACGGGTGCCTCAGTTTTCCACCTGGGAACAATCTTATAGACTCAGAGTGTATGAAAGTTAAACACATCCTCTGAGGACATTAAAGCAAGCCTTTTATAGTACATTTGAGGAAATCAAAAGATCTAAAATTAAGACAGTGAATTTTTAGGAAAATGGTATTCATCTTGGAGGGTTGGAATACTTAGGAAACAATATTTAGATTGGTTTTACTTTCTTTATATTTTATTAAGTATATTAGTTTTGCCAGAGCTGCCATAATGAAATACCACAGAATGGGTAACAACAGAAATTTATTTTCTCACAATTCTGGAATTTGGAGGTCCCAGCAAGGATCGGTTCCTTCTGAGGCCCCTCTCATTGGCTTGCAGATGGCAGCCTTCTCACTGTGTCTTCACGTGGTTGTTCCACTGTGTACGTATAGCTCTAGTGTCACTTTGTGTGTCCAAATTTCCTCTTACGAGGATACCAGTCAGATTGGATTAGATCCTCATCCTAACTTAATCACCTCTTTAAAGGCCCTATCTCCAAATACAGTCACATTCTGAGGTACTGGGGTTTAGGGTATCAACATATGAATTTTGGGGGGACAAAATTCAGCCCATCACACTAATTTTCAAATCTTTAGGTACCCTTATGGTTAGGGGGACAATATAATTCATTGTACAAAGTGGGACACTTTTGAAAGTGAAAAGGACAGGGTAGCTAATTAAATGAAACTCCAGAACAATGGGTAGAAGTTGGGTCTGTCCTGGGAAAACCAAATTGTGTGGCTACCATAAGGTAATAAACAACTGCTGAGCTCCTGCTCCAGGGCCTGGAACACTGGAGACACAAGGATAGTAACACCTAAGTCTCTGCTTTTGAGAATAGCCCTGAAAAAGTAATTTATCAGAAAAAAAGATAAAAATTTATGTTAATAATAATGAGAAAATAGTATGTTAAAAATAATAATACCTTTGCCCCACTCTGACCTCCTATATTTGAATCTCCAATGCTGTAGGTAGGCATCAATATTTTTAATTTTCCCATTCCTAGGGTTGAGAACAACTGAGTCAGAAATGTTAGCATAAGATTATGAGAGTCAGGTATTTCGAGGATAAATTATGAAAGGAGAAAAGGAGAAATGTGAGGTTCTCCCAGCAGAGCTGCCCTTGTTTAAGTCATATCTCAGGTTAGTGTTGAGAAACTGTGGATGGAAGACTAACAGCAATTTTCAGGGCTGTAGGAGTGGGAGCAGTGGCCACAGCTGAGACTTCCACAGCAGCAAGAGGGGCTGACCAAGGCTACAGCCTGGAGTGGACAAGAGTCGGAGGAGCCCAGGATGCAGGTTGAAAGAGCCAGCTAGCAAATGAAAGTTAGAAAGTGGTATCACAAAGTTAAGGGAGAAGAACTCCCAAGGAAGAAGCTCTGGTATTAGTATTCAATTTTACCAAGTATTTAGCCAAGTAAAAGAGCTAAATTGAAGCTGAGCAAAGGACTCA